CTTCACTTGCTTTATATGTGTAGGAGATCAGCTGATGTGGAGAAATAGTCTGGTTGCTTTGATATCCTGTGACTGAGGGATAGCATTCTTCTTAAACTTGGAACTTCAATATTTTCAAGTAAATATCTCCTAAACTTGCCACACTTTGTGCTGAAATCATAAGCATTTTGCATATTTTAATGACAATGTGATACAGGCCTGTTTTAAAGAAATTTTAAAAAAATATTTCTGAAGTATTTATAACATAGACTCATAAGGTTGGAAGGGATCTAGGAGGGCTTCTAGTCCACCCCTGCTTAAGGGGAGGAGCCTTATACCATCCCAGTCAAATGGCTGTCCAGTCTATTTTTGAAAACCTCTAGTGCAGGAGCACCCACAGCTCCAGAAGCTAGCTACTCCACTGATTAATTTGTAAGGCTTTTCTTTGACATGGCTTTACAAATTAGGAATTATATAGATATTTTGGGTGGCTTTAACTCTTTGAATTGTCTATTATTTATTATTTTTATTGATAGTTGGGTGGATGGAATGTTGCGAACACAAAAGGCTTTCTTTGAATGGGAGAAAATCTCAGTATGCCCAGATGTTAGTAACGTTGATTACTAATGGAGATATTGTAGTAACTTTAAATACTGGCCTGTTGGTAAAGCTTTAAAGTATTCAAAGAGAAATAATTAACCATTATGTGGTTACAATTTTTAGTAATGACTTATATTTGCTAAACAGGAAAAAGAGCCCAGCCTGGAAGATTAATAAAAGGATGTATTTAAACAGCTTATCCCTGCCTTTATTTTGGTGTGTGAAACTGGATCATAACTTTCTTTCGTTGTTTCGACATCGTTAGAATATATAGCAGAAATGGGAGGAGGCCAGGTTTTTACTCCCTACATAGTACATACTATATGTCTAGTGAAAAATGAAGGTATGTCTGCCTTGCACATTTTCCGGTTAACCTGTCATTAAAGGGATTGGAATCAGCTAAATGGATTGCAATGATAAGCTGAAGCAAGAAAGAACGAATCCATAGGAAGGGGGGGGGGAAGACACACAGCAGCAAAGAATTTAAAAGGGAATGTAGAGTATGGGAGGGGAGAGAGAGAGATAGGGAGGGAGATAATGGTCATCAGATCCAGCTATGGAGTGAGGGAAGTTTCAGACTAGCAATTTCAGGGAACGTGTTGGGATGAGGAATTGGCAGCTGCAGACAAACATTCCCGGAGTTACTAGGTATTAGCTGAACAGCTGTCAGGCTGTGTGCGAAGGTCTTCTCACAATCACACCTGCATTCCTGGACACCTTCACTATGAGCCCAAGCCCTATTCACTGTAGGGAACCAGCCTTTTTATATCCCTGCCGCTGCTGATCTATCTTCTTTCACTCTGGGGCGTCTCTCTTAATCAAATACATTTGTTTTGTAAAACTGACTAAAAATAATCCTGGGCTGGTATGTGCTGGATGTTGGCAGTGAATCAAAGGCTCTGCTCTAATTAAGCAGGCCCTGGTTTGTTTGTGAGCTGCATATATTTCCATGCTAATCAGCTACACGCCAGGATCCTGCCTTCTAAGCCTCACTTCCTTTGCCTGATTGGAAACTATGCAAATGGACGGAGGGAGTCTATTTATTGCAACTGAGGAATGTGGGGCTTTATTGGAGTGGGAGAGGCAGTGCTTTGGCTGAGGTTGCAAAGATAATGGGTAGTCCAGTGATTCAGTCCAATTATTTACAGTTATATAAAGGGTATCAATTACTCCTTTGTCATGAAATACTTTTTTAGTCAAACGTTCTGCTCAAAGTCACTTAGATTTGTTGACCAAGTATTACTACTGCTATTCACAGGGAATAGAATTAAGAACGTAAACAACATGAATCAAACACAAGGCTTGTCTAGTCCTAGGTTATATTTCTTGCAGTTGCCAACCATGTAAGAAATCCACAAAGGGAGCATGATCACGGTTGTACCCTCCTGCTTATATATTTCCGACCAGTGGTATAAAAGAGCAATTTGCATCTTGATTGGGACAGCATAAAAGCATTTTGATAAGTAGCCATTATGGACCACATCCCCTACAAATATGTTTTGTTTTTTAAAACCCTTAAATGAATAGATATCACTTATAACTTTGGGGAAGCAAAATTGTTCATTGTATAAAGAAATGCTTTCTTTCGTTCGTTCTGAACTTTTCAACCTGCAACTTTGTTACGTGACCCCAGATTCTAGTATGTGAATGAGTGGAGTGATAATTTTCAGGTGACCATCCATTCTGAATGTATAGGTGTGGCACCAATTTTTGGGACTATATACAGTTTAAATGGTCTTTTGAATTAGTACAGGTAGTCCTTGACTTACGACACAATTGAGCCCAAAATTTCTGTTGTTAACTGAGACATTTGTTAAGTGAGCTTTCCCCCATTTTACAATCTCTTTTGCCACAGTTGTCAATCACTTCAGTGGTTAAGTTAGTAACAAGGTTGTTAAGTGAATCTGGCTTCCCCATTGACTTTGCTTGTCATAAGGTCGTGAAAAGTGATCACATGATCCTGCGACACTGCAACCATCATAAAGATGCTAAGCAACTGAGCTTTAATCATATGACCGTGGGGGATGCTGCAAGGATTGTAAGTGTGAAAAATGGTTGTAAGTCACTCCTTTCAGTGCTGTTGTAACTTTGAACGGTCACTAAATGCACTGTTGTAAGTCAAAGACTCCCTGTATACCATCTTTGTAGGGCCAAAAGACGATTGAATCCAGATTTCAGGTGAGATGGAATAAAGTTATTCACCATTTCTTCCATGATTCAGGTTTTGCAAATTGGCTTCCAGGTGTTTTAATTGCAGAAGGAGAAATAAATACTTCCAGTGCAAATATATAAAGAGAAGCATGATGAGCATCTTGATGACAGCTGAATGAAGAGAATTAACCTAGATATATATTCTGTCCCTATTATGGGTTGAATAGGATCTTATAATGCCTTTTAATGCTGTTATTTCCTCTGTGGTGAAAGCAAATCTTTTTGGATAAGATTTATTGTCATTATTATTAATGGGATTAGAGCATTTGCTATATCCCTGCTGTGCCAGGAACAAATATGCTGATTGACCCTCACTCCTTTTATGAAGTATAACTTCTAATAGAATACATGGGCCCTTGATTGTAATACTGAAGTGGTGATGAAATTTGTCTTCATTCTCTTGGCTCTCATTATGCAGCCTCTTTGCATAGATACTTGCATGGGTTGTTAGTGCTTAGGTACTTCACCTTCTTGATAGCTGGAGAGCCTTTCAAGAGCAATGCAACTGTTAGGCTATTGAAAAGTTCATTGAGGAAGGGAAGCTGGCTAAAACAAAGCATCTATAATTCATTGTTTTTTAAAAAAAGGAAGATGATTGATTCCAATAATGATTCCAGCAAATGTACGAGATGGTAAATGCTGAGAGGTGGTAATTGTATGATTGCTCTGGCAAAGAAGATAGGCTACACTGACAGGTAAAGGAAAAAGAGTCTTTATTTTATCCATGAGAGGCAAATCCTATTGCTGGAAGTGCACTATTTCTGAGGCTATCCCAAGAGAGGCTGAAGTTCACAGTAGCTACCATTCTTCCTCCATCCAATTCAGCCTGTAGAGAAATTGATAATGGAAAATTTTCCCTAATTAAAATATTTTTATATTTTCTACATGGTGATGGTCAGTAATGCTCAACATACCTCTTACCGGCACTTTCTCTGGAGATACCAATATACATTATCCAGTAATTGCCTGCTTCATTTTTTCAAATTTATTATTTTAACTGTAGTGCACTCAGAGTTCATAATAATGGCAAAGTGGTATACAAATACATCAAATAAATCTTAAATGAAAAGCAAATAGAAATAATTGTTTTTATTGTGAAAGACATAAAAATGATAACTCGGATAAAGTCCCAAAGGTGCTTTTTTCATGAGGCAGCTTGGATTTCCTTATTTTTCTTTGAAGACATTTTGCTTCTCATCCAAGAAACTTCTTTAGTTCTGAGTGGATGGTGGAGAATGGCAGGATTTATACTCCTTGAAGATAGCTGTTCATTTGCATTCTTTTAGAGAGTCATTGAGGCCACCTGGAGGCTTATCTGTGTCATCAGGGTCACCTGAATAGCGCAAATGGATGTGGAGCCTTCTTGGAACTGCTGAAAGGACTGTGTTGTAGACTGGAGATAGATGTCATATCCCTGCCCCTCTGTTGAGAGAGGGCTGTTCAATTTTGACATGGATGGCCTCTTTGACCCCTCTTTCAAACTAGCGGTCCTCTCTGTCCAAAATATGGACTTTGCTGTCTTTGAAAGAGTGGCTTTTGTCTTTTAAATACAGATGGACTGCTGAATCTTGTCCTGATGGGCTTGTTCTCCTATGTTGTGCCATGGTTGTTATGTTTCCTCAATGTACAGATCCGCACATGGCTCACTGCTTAACAATGTTATGCTTAACAATGTTAGTGTGACTAGGAACTCCATCACTAAGCAGCATGGTTGTATATAGTGCAACAACACTGATTGTACTGATTGATGCTGGTAGTTGCACCAGTCCCATTTGCTGCTATTATGTGAATTCTATGTGGCTGCATCATTCCATGGTCACATGATTGCTATTTGTGACTTCCTGCTGGCTTCCTCATTGACCTTGCTTGTTAAAAGTCAGCCATGAACATTGCAAATGGTGATCACCTAACCACAGACATTGCAGCTGTTGCAATGGTGAGCCAGTTGACATTGCCAAGTGCTGAATGTGATGATGTGACTGTGGGAATGCTACAGTAGCTGCAATTACCAGGATTGGTCATTAGTTCCCCTCATTCAGTGTCATGGTAACTTTGAACAGTTGTGAACTTAGTGTCGTTCAACCAGGACCACCTGTACTTGTATAGAACTGGAACATCGTGTCTATGGAACCTAATAAATGTAATTCAACTTAATTTTGCAAAAAATGCACTAGTTTTCATCCTTCTTACATGTTTCTTGTTTCTTTCAGATCTTGGTTGATCCTACCAGTCCCATTGGACATTCAGCTTTGCAATATGAAAATGTGGTAGCCCATGATGGCAGTCCAATTTTGCGGGATTTAGTGCTGAGCCCTGATCTGCAATATCTTTATGCCATGAGTGAGAAACAGGTAAGAATCTAAATTTGTATTACATTTCATTTGCATAAAGCCAACCCTAGGGAACCCATAACCAAATGAGTAGAGATTTTTTTTAAAAAAAAATCTTTGCTGAAAATGGAACATTTCTCAAGTACAGTGCATTAAATTAGGGCATGGTTATAAGACTCTTAGATGAATTGAACAAAAAAAGTATGGACCGATGACATACATCATTGGAATAAAAGTATTTGAATGACTGACAGGATGGCTCTCTTAAGAGATGGTTTAAGAAAATGATAGCTAATATGAATTGACTCAGTAAATTTCAGTTTTAGCAAGCTCTACACATGGACAAAATCAGTCTAATGCAAAATCAGCTTGCGGCTTTCGATATCATCAATCTGAATCGGCCTGGAGGATTAGGGGTGGCCAGCACAGTCTTTTGCTACTCGCCTCCTTTCTAGAGAGTGAATTCCAGTCAGTGGGGATTCAACATCTACACGAGGCTACTGGGAAATCTCATCCATTGTCACAGGGTGAGGTATCATCAGTATGTTGCTAATGATATATCTCTGCTCCTGGTGTGTTAAGCAATGCTGTGAACATTGTAGCCCAGTGCCTGGACGATGGGAGAGTCTGAAAGGGGGATGATAACAGGCTTCAGCTACAATTCTGGCAAGACTGAGTGGCTCTGGAGGCATGCTTGTTGTAAGATTATACCATCTTTGGTGTTGAGATCCTCCTGTACTCAGAACTCCTGCTCAAAGAGCAAGTAACGGTCATAGTTAGGAGGCCTTTACATAGCTTTGTGTTGTGCACCAGTTGAGCCTGTTTCTAGCTCTGCTCACAGACAGAACAGCTCTGTGAGAAGTACTTGTTACCATTTTGCTTCCGGGTCCAATTCACGTTGCTGATTTTAATCTTTAAAGACTACATGGCATGGGATGGATTATCTGAGGGACTGTCTCCTTTTAATTATATCTGTCTGGCAGAAGAGAAATGCTGTGGGTTCCAACTACTAGGGGATTTGGCAAGGTCCCAAGAAGTGGGCCTTTTCTGCTGTGACACTTACTTAATGGGACATTCTCTCCCCCCCCAAAGTGAGGTTAGGTCATCTGTATCTGGGTCCCAGGGGACCAATGAAATTCTTAAGATAGTTCCATTATTGTGGTTGACATTCAATCCTATGCCTTGTGTTTTTTATATTTTAATAATGACTGTTTTCATACATTTGTTGTTTTAATTAATTGTTCTAACCTGTCCAGAACATTTTTGTCAAATGGACAGCCATATAAATTTAATAAAATAAATGAATAAAAGGCACATCACAATCAACTATGAAATGCCTTCTGCTTATGGATCTAATGGCTGGCAGTTACTACAAAAATGGCTTTATGTTCAAGAATGAACATTATTGTGTATCTTTATTTATTCAATATAATTTCCTAAGAAATTCAATTTTGTTTTTATGGCAAAAAGTACTAATCAGGTGCATCATCATTTTTTTCTCTATGTTTTACGACAGTACAAACGTCTATTAATATTGCCGCCCAACACACAAAATCTATTGCTTGTGAAAACATTTGTACCACCAGTTTAACCCCTTAATCCTTTTTTTAGTAACAATATCCTTTAAAAATGGAGTGCCTGACTGATGTCTTCCTGCAGTTCAAATATTTCTCAGTCCAGGCAGTAATTCCATAACTATTGGGTTGGTTCACCAATTCTGCCAAATAATTTTATTTTGTCCTACTGTGAATATATGAACATAGCTATTGTGATTTATAAACCAGAATTTATAGCATGTTTGGGCTTTATATAATATGTAGCCACCAAAGGCAGCAGAATATTTGTTTTTTGTTTATTTCATTTATAAGGCTGTCTGCTCAACAGGCAATCCTATATTAATTAATATATGTTTTAAGGGTGACAAAATAGATATTCACAGATAATGCTAATACTAATAAAGATGCCGACACTATTACTTCTACCAATACAGAAAATCCTGTCCACTGTTAGCCCAAAGCATCCCAAGTTTGTTAAGGGCAGTCACTGACCCTCAAACATTTGCCCACTCCTGATCTGTTTTTTTAAATATGTGAATGGAGATGCGTGGGAGTTTGTTAGATAAATGGATTGAACAAAATAAGGAATGTTAAAACTCTTGTTATAATTCCTGTTTTACCTCTTCAGAAACTTTCATCTACCTGAGGTTTTTTTTTCCAGAATTAGAGATTGACTAAGGAGTAAAGGATGAACAGTGAGGTTACAGCAGCAGAAGTGCTTTTGATCCTTGCTATTTCCTTGGTTCAAAATATCAAATGTCCAAATTTACTTTATATAGCAAAAGGGAAGACCGAGATTTCAATGAATGGAACTGTTGCCATCACATGTAATTTGGCAGTAAGAGGAGTCAGGGTTTTCCCCACAATATTTATCTCTAATTGAATGTTCAGTTGTTTGCTCAGGGAATGAAAAAAGTATTTAGTTGAAATGGGAAGGAAAGGTAAACTTGTTTATTCATTTAATAAGTTATATGCCACCCACATCACCAAGGTGACTCTGGACAGTTTTCAAAGTGGCATTGCTTATTAGAAAGCAAATGTAGATACAGTACATTTAGCATCTGTTCTAAACTTACTAGAGCTCTTTGGGGGGAAAAACACTATTTGACAGATTGCCTTTGCTATAGGTGTTATAGAAATGTCTTCTGCAGTATTCCAGCAAGATATTTTTTTTTATTGAAAATTTTTTAAATTTTACAAAACAAATCCCCTTCCCAACCCCCCCCCCTCCCATACCCTCCCCCACCTCCCCAAACCTCCCAAACCCTCCCCCAACCTTCCCAGAGCTGAGTACAGGCTTAATTAAAATTTTTCAGAAAAAGAAAAGAAAAACTTAAAACACATATAAATCCTAAACAAATCTAAATACATTAAATTAAATAGGTTATCTTCTCTAAAAAATAATAATTGCAATCATTAAACACATTATAATATACTCTAAACATTTTCTAGTATCATACTTATATTATTATCCATCATTCTGTATAAACTCCCTCCAAAACACAAATTTAAACATTACTTTCTTTGAATATCTATACCTACAATATAAAATCTAATCTCTCCCTCTTTCTTTATCCTAGAACACAAAAATAAACATATAAACCTTCATTATACCATTAAAACTAAATACTCTTTGAATACTTAAACTAAATACTTAAACTTAAACTTCTTATCTAAGATTTTCATTCAATCTCCATAATCTTCTCTCCTATCAAAAAAAAAACTTAAAAGACATATAAATCCTAAACAAATCTAGGTACATTTAATTAAACAAGTTATCTTCTCTTAAAATAATAATAATAATAATAATAATAATAATAATAATAATACCCAAACATTAAACACATTATAATATACTCTGAACCTTTTCATATCATACTTATGTTATTATCCATCATTCTTTATAAACTCCCTCCAAAACACAAATTTAAACATTACTTAAAACATTAAAATTCCCTTATACACATTTAAATCTTTACCAATAACAAATTCCATCCACAATAAACACATTCCTTATCAGTCTCTCTTGTCCATAAACCATTAAAATTCCCTTATACACATTTAAATCTTTACCAATAACAAATTCCATCCACAATAAACAGATTCCTTATCAGTCTCTCTTGTCCATAAACCTCAAAAGAAGTGCTTTGAAAACTGCCCTTAAAGCTAACTCCAAAAAGTTTGTAAATCTTGCTTCTCCCACAGACTCAGTACTCTTTTGAATTCTTAAACTAAGTACTTAAACTTAAACTTCTTATCTAGAATTTTCATTCGATCTCCATCCTTGTCAGTCTCTCTTATCCATAAATCTCGAAAGAAGTGCTTTGAAATCTGCCCTTAAAGGTAGCTCCAAAAAGTTTATAAATCCTGCTTCTCCCGCAGACTCAGGGAGCCAATACTTGTGAGGCTTCCTTAAACTCCTTCTTCTGTTGCTCTTTTTCTTTACGATTATATGTTGCACGAGTTGTCCTCTGCTCCTTCATCTCGACTTGTTGAGGCCCCTCAAACTGAGATTTCCCATTTTTCATTAATATAGGCTCTTCAGACTGCAATTCTACCTTCTTTTCTTCCAAAGCTTTAAACTTAATAGATGGCGATGAACATACCCCCAGGACCGAAGTATAAAAGTCTTTTGCTTGAGAAACAGTATTAAGTCTATAACATATCCCCAGGTAATTCACCACCATTCCAATCGGAACATCCCATCTGAACAAGATTCGTCTCTTTTTAAGTTCATCTGCTAAAAAAGCAAACTCCTTTCTTCTTCTTAAAATTTTAGATGGGATCTCCTTTAGAATTATAACATCTTGTGAAGCAATTTGAAATCTCTTCTTATAAAAAGCTTGTATAATTTCGTTGCGCAGGGATCTTTTCCCAAAGTAAATTACCACATCTCTTGGCAAATTCTTTTGCACTGCCACCACAGAGTTAACTCTAAATAATTTTTCAATTTCACTAAGTATTTCCTCTTTTTCTTTATTCAAAATCACAGCAAAGTCCTTTGCAACCATCTCTCTCAGATCTCCTTGCACAGACTCTCCCAAACCTCGGATTCTTAAGGCATATTCCATTTGTCTATATTGAAGCATAAGAATCTCATTTTCCATTTCTTTTTCCATGCTTTCAAATTTTCCCTCCATCAATTCCACTTTTTCTTCTACCTCTTCTACATGAGAGTTCAGCTTTTCAAGAACAAAGGCAACTCCTTTTAGAGCCAAAACTATCTCTTGCCTCAAAATCTTATTATTTTCCTCTAAAATCTCTTTCATTTCTGCCCTAATTTGAAATATAACATTTCCCATCATATCTTGCAAATCCTTCACAATTATTGGCTGTACCAAGGAAGAGGGTGAAGCTATTGATTTAGGTTGTTGCACTGATGATAACACCGAATTAGAAACCACCTTAGGAGCTGTAGGAATTACTGGACGCTTTGGAGCCATCTTAAAAAAAATCTCTACTCCT